GGGGTGGGGTTTAGGGCTTCAGGGTTTAGGGTTCAGGGTTTAGGGCTTCTGGAACTAAACCCCCTAAACCCTTTGTGGCAATGGCCTGCAGGGACTCTGCCAGGATGGACACTTCGTGAGCAAGCGACTCGTGCGCTCAGGCTATGTCCGCTAAAAACCCCCAGGAACCCCTTGAGAAAAACCCAAACGAAACCCAAAACTGAAAGGGTTTACCGTTGAGGGCTTCAGGCTTCTGACGCAGCCGCTTGGCACTCACACTTTGGCTCGGGGCAGGAGGAGGAGGGTTAGGGTTCAGGGTTTTGTTGGAAGAGAGGGACATGTGTATGTGTAGTATCTATATCTATATATATATATATATATATATGTGTGTGTGTGTGTGTGTGCGCGTGTGTATGCATGCATGCATGTATGATATGCATGTATGTATGCATGTATGTATCTCTCTCTCTCACTCACTCCCTCTCTGTATTTCCTTTCTCTCCCTTTACCACGTATCGCCGTACAGTCCTTCACAGTGGCTTGTTAGGAACAGTGGCCAGGGAATCTCATAGCCCGAGACCTGCAAGAAGATCTTTGCCTCAATCCGGTCCTGTTCATTTTTGATCAGCCTTTTCGGGCGAATGTATGATGAAAAAGAGCGTCGGAATCGAATGAAACAGCCTCTTGTTATATATATTTCTGTACGATGCGATCGTCGTGGCCAGCATGAAAATATATCAACACCAGCAACCATGGCTTCATAAGCTGCTGAACTGTAGTGAAGTGTACAGAGCTACAAATCCGGCACAGCCAGGCACCCGTGGCCGGAGCAGCAGCTTGGTGCCGGTGCAGTTCACCTCCGAGCCAGTAGGTGAAAGCTCAGTTTCATCTCTATTCCAGGAAGATGGGGTTTGCGCTTGCGGCTTCGTGCTGTTTGACAATTACATTCATCGGGCAAGCCATGGAAGAATTTCAACGACAATCTGACGAGGGGCAAGCGCTGAAAGGAATGCTGCCAGCAACGAGAAGTATACAACCGTATCCGGCCAGCCCAACAACGCACATTCGGATCCAAGTTCAGCTCGTCGTGCTCGCGGAGAAACTCTACAAGCCTACTGTGCCCTAATTAAGTACGTTCGCATCACGAACATAGGGTCTGAGCCACACTGACAAACCACGTATACGTCGGCCATTGAAGCGGTCAGCATAGGGTGCAGCGTATACGTGCATGAAGTGTTTGCAGCAGCCTCTTGCTCACGTGCCAATACCACACCGAGCCTCAAGAAAAGAGTTAACACCGCGATCCGGATTATGAACTTGTTCATACCCCTTAATAGAAAGGAAAGCCCTGTTGAACCTCGAGAGCTGCTTCATGCCAGCAGCCCTACACCCTAATGTTTACACTGTCTCCGAATGATCTTCGAGCTGTCAACGCACCTCAACAGTAGGATCCTTACCATAACATGCCATAGAGACACTTTACAACACTATGCCACACGGCAAGATACCCTTGGTATGAAACGGTTATCCCGTCTTCGGGCAGAAAAGCACATAGGAGGCCTCAGCAAGCCGTCGCTTCTGCGCCTGGCGGTTCTGCGGAGTCTTTTTGGGCTTCAGGCTTCGGTTTACGGTTTCGACTCTCACTCTAACGGTTTCGACTCTCTCTCTTACAAGGCAGGCAAGGCTCCACACGATTCCGTTTACGGTTTAGGGTTGAGGGTTGAGCCGTCCAGTGCTTTGAGGTTTCCGGTGTTTTTGCCTCCCACCTAACTAGGACGAAGCCCGCATTGCAGGGTACATTGCGGGCTTCGTCCGGAGTTGAGGGTTTTGGGTTTTGGGGTGCGCTGCACGATTTGTGGGCGGCCATAAGACCTTCCACATTGCTAGGTCGAAGGCCAGGGTCTGTCTTGGGACTCTTGCAACTCGGACACTGCCGGCAATATCTGTGCGGGTTGCCTTGCAGCGAATATTGGGGCTGTAAACAACTGGTGAGACTCCTCAGTTCTCGAAGTGCAACTTCTGTTGGCAACACGGCTAGTTCTAGGGCCCTAAGAATCTCTTCTTCACGTGTAGGCTAAAGCAATTCGCAATTTCAACCTGCACTGTTCTGGTTCATGCTGTTGTTGTCATGAACAGTTTGTACCGCTGGTTGGCGGCGGCAGTCGCAACTGCAACCTGCACTAGTCTGGTTCAGGCTATTCTTGTCATGAACATGACTAGTATTCCTTGTGGGGCTCGTCTTCAACTTGAATGATAACCACCATTGAAGTTGTAGGGACCAGGCTGACAGCAACGGCCAAAACTCTGTTCTGATAGTGTGGGACAGAAGAGCCCTCCTCCTCCCAACGAGCGGAAAGTAGCTTATAGTTCCAACCACTAAATCCAAACAGCATGCAATGAGTAACACGACAACACGACCGCCTGCCTCTGGGTTGCCATGAGCCACCACAAAGCCCTTCCTGTCCGCCTGCAGCCGCCGGCCGGAATGCCTGGGCTGAGGGTGTGACCTCCACTCAGTGCACCACATCCCGCATTTTTTCACGAATCGCAATCGCTCCGGCCGCAGTCTGGAGTTCTACCGGAGTCTTCCCGCTCGCAGTGCTATTCGGGTGAATTCAGCATGTCCGCATATTGCAGGGTTGCTTGCAGAATGGGAAAGGCCCAGAATCTCCATCACTCCTGCTCCTACAAAGGGCCAGAATTCTTGGTCGGGTGGCTTGTTTTCTGCCTCCCGCCTTGCGACGGACCTGCTATGCAGGGAACACGACGAGAAACCTTGTAGGTTGTAGGGTGTGGGAGTTTACGACGGCTTGGAATTTCACCTATGCCTGCACATTCACCTAGGCATTATTAACACAAAAAGGCTGTCCCACTTTACTACTCTTCGTCTTGCTAGCTTGACTGATGGTGGCTTCCTGCACTCGTGCTGTTCAACGCTTGGAAGCGCGATTTTTAATTTGACGTCCTTCATAACTGAGTTATGCAGTGTATAAACGGCTACGTAAGATTACCAATTATTCCGAGGGCTTGAATATTCATCCTCCCCTCAACCCTGATCTCCAAACCTCCTGTATTCATCCACCCCCCGATTGACCCTAAACCCCCTGTTTTATAACGATCCTCCCCTCAGCCCTAAACCCTCTGTATTATTCATCATCCTCCCCTTCCGCCGGGGCACCGCAGCGAAACTTCGGCGGTCGCCTCCCAGTTTCCGGGATTTCGCAGCTGAAGATCCGAGATGTGAACGCGGGCGAGGTCGTCCCCTGCACTTCATGGCTGTTGCCTCCTACGGATTGCGACTTTTCGTGTGTTTAGACACTGAGTGGTCGAGGTAGATTCATTTCGAGAGTACGTAGGCTTTCGGCGCTTGATTTCGACTTCGACCCTGCCGCGACGAAGGCTTCACGGAGCAGCTGCAGTCTGCGAGGACTTTTTGCGCGTAGACTCTAGCCACTCTTGCCTGGCGGCCTGTCACGTTGCAATCTGAGTAAGTCGTCATACCGCCGGGTGCAGTGTAGAGGCGTCGCAACACCCAGGCACAAAAGGAAGAGTACCACGAGCGCTGACAAGAAGCATGCCAACTACGCATGATGTCGCGAAATATGCTTAAGAAATCCACGTCCATCAAGAAGCCAGTGGCTTCAAAACCCAAGTCTGTGTGCATTCTGCCAAGGTGCGTATATCCTTGGCTCGTCGGCTACTTTCGCAGGAATGCTCTGCTTGACTGACTAACGAAGTCTTCACTCACTGCTTGTGCGGGATGCTGCCCTATTTAAAGCGGGGTGATGCTTCAGAGAAACTCTTAAATTGAGTGCGACAACAGGACCACTGGCTCAAGAAATCTCAGCAACAATGCTACAAAAATGTGTCATGCAGACAGCAAGGCCGAGCCACGATGTTCTCCGGAACCACTTCTAGAGGCCTCGACTCCCATGCAAGCTGCTCAGCGTTTACTGCGCAGGCGTTGGCGCAGGGCGTTGGGGCTTAAGGTTTTGCGATCACGCTCTTGTGCATTTCGGAGACTCCAAGACACAGACAAGGCACCAACAACACTACACCTGTCGAAATCACTTCCTCGGCGCTGCAACTGTCTGCCGTTCGCCATGGCCTCTCCCCTTCTCCGACCCCAACACATCAAGAGCAACCAGGAGGCCGCTTTCGTGGAAGTGTACTGCTCAGAAACTGTTCTTGTCTCTGTGTTCTCCCGAGTTGGTAGCCAAAGGGACACCGGCACTAATGCAAAATCAGACAAAACCCTAAACCCTAAACCCTAAACCCTAAACCCTAAACCCTAAACCCTAAACCCTAAACCCTAAACCCTAAATGCCTCGTAGAGTCCCACAGATGCCGAAAATCGCTGGTGCTAGTCGTGCAGCCAACTCTTGCTTACCGTCCCTTGACATTGGTTTCCTGCATCATATCTGGTCCCACCACTCGGTCCCACCGCTTGCCTGTGACAAAATCCTCAATCTGTTCCCATGCATGTCCCACTGTTCCGGTAGAGCTGCTGCGAATTTAACTCAATATCAATTGCGCTAAAGACACACTAAACCCAGTGAACTAGACCGAGGAACCTCTGACAAACCCGAACTTTCTATCGTGGACTTGCGTAGCTCCCGCACCTCAAACATCCCAAGCTTACCGTCACTTAAGGGCTAGGGTCCTGAGGGGTGCTGTGCGGTTTTGAAGGGTCTTTTCGGGCTTTGTGGAATTTGTTAAGCTACCGAGGCGCGGTTGAGGATCACCGACGTTCCCGCCCCCTGCGTGCCGCCGCCGGCCATCAGCACGGCGTGTTGACGCAGGAGCTGCGGCCTAGATTTAGCCGCTCTTACTCTTGCATACCATCATCTAGAGGGGCCTCAAAACTTACAATAGGGTGTTGGTATGTTCTGGTGTATATGACACAAAAACCACTCGAAGGCACTCCAAGGAGTGATGTTGATAACCATTTCGGCCCCTACACTGCGCAAAGCTCCTCAAGTTTCGGGTTTTTTTTTATCACCTCTTTTCCTTCGCCTGAAAAGGTGTCGGGAATACCATGTTGGTTGAGGCCAAGTTTCGGGTTTAGGGTTTAGGGGTTTCGGGGATCCTGGACCGTAGGCAACAAGAGCCCTCTTGCACGGTATTCCTAGAAACACAGCGAAGGTTTCGCAGACTGCGCTTCTTTGATACCCGAGCATAGGCCATGAGTCCATGAGTAATTCTGAGATCTACTCTTCTATTGCCACTATCAGCTGTCTATTCTTTTAGAAGAAAATGATTCACTAAATTTAGTTCATCAATCTGCAACAAGCATGACTGTTCCTATTCCTCCTGTTTAAGACGAACGATGACAAGCCAAAAATAAGTGCAAGCTTGTCGGTCTGAGGGTGCCAAGCCACAGCGACTGCAATGTGAAGAAACAGGAGCAGCAACAGTCGGCGAAGCAGCATGGTGTCCCGCGCAGCGTGCCATCTCTGCATCTACGGATTCAGACCCGTCTATCAAAGTAGCTGAAAGCAGCTGAGAACTGGCATTTTGAGTGACACGTCCCTCGGCTCCGCATGGTGCGGGTCCACTCTGGAGCTGTTGCGAACCGTTCCAGTATAGGCCCTGAAGCAGCCCGCAACCTTCGACCCTAAACCCGGAACCCGAAACCCTAAAGACCCTAGACCCCCTTGAGCTTTTTTGGATGTTGGTTTGCGAAGGCTTGGGTGCAATATGCACGGGGCCGCCGCCTGAGGCCCTTGAGCCATCCGGGGGGGGGGGGGAGATCTTCGGCTCACGGAAGCAGGGCATCTACTACTGCTAGATACTGCTAGGCTGCTGAGTTTAGGGCTTTAGGGTGGTAGGGCTCTAGGATTTTACATTAAACCAATGATTACTGCTAGGCTGCTGAGGTTGGAGGGCTTTAGGGCTTTGGTAGGGCTTTAGGATTGAATGATTGAGTTCAGGGTCTACGAGCAGCCTGGGGTCGGGACACTTCCGTGCTAAGTTGTCAGTACTGGTACTGTCGATGGACAAAATTCTGCATGACCCAAGTATAGTATAGTACCATAAATCCCATAGTTTAGGTATATAGGGTCATGCAGGATTTTGTCCATCAACCGTAGCAAGGCCTGGCTGGGCAACATCGTATGCCCCACACCTGCAAGGGCTCAGAAGCATAAGGTGGCAGATTCAGAACAATGGGGAGTAAGTACATCAAGTGGCACCTACACCTTCAGGCTGTCCATGATTGTCAGCAATTCGGGAAACCGACGTCCGAGCGAGGCTTCATTGGCTTTTGTTGGACCGTGCTGGATCTAGAGGCAAACCCTAGCATGTCCAATGCAGCTAGCATTGCACAGAGCACGCTCCATGGCGACCCCGCCTATGCCTTGAATATGCAATGTAAATACCTGCTTCCCACAAACTCCTGAAGGCACAGTCGCCACCCCGCGTCGGTGATTGAGTAGTCCTGGGATGGATTTGGGAGTTGCCTGCTGCCACCCGAAACGCACCAGAATCACCAGAAAAGCTGCAGCTCCATCAAGCGCTGATGCATGAAATCATGAACAAGCAAAAAGCGAGATGACATTGCCTACACCCCGCCCGCAATCTATAGCCACTTCGAAGACCGCAGACGTGCTTTGCCACCTTTATAACCGCAGAGCAATTCAGCCTGCCTGCGACTCCGAAGCTTCTTGCAACATGCCAATGCATCTCAGCAGCCGCATCCCACTTTATCACCCCGGAAGGCACGACGTTCTCCGGGCCGATTTGTCCGCTGAAAGCAAGGCCGTTGACTTCCAAAAAGTCGTACCTGGCTTCCTGAGCGCTCACTGCCGTCAACCGTGCCCCTTCAGCCGAAAGTGGCTGCTGCGAACCCCATGCGCTACATACACCCGTCACATCCCATCCAATCCCATCCCATTCCATCCCATCCCATAGCATGGCGTAGCATGGCATAGCAAAGCATGGCACAGCGCAGCACAGCACAACATAACATAGTGCGAAAGAACATAGCACATCAGGATATAATGCAGCAGAGCATAACATCACGGCATACCATAGCTGATCATAACACTGCATAACTTCTTGGCTAAACACAACATAGCATAGGCGAAACATGATGTAATACAGCATGCCATAGAAAAACATGACACAGCATAATATAGCATACTGATATGGCATAGAAGATTAGCATAGCAACATAGCAATGCTTAGCATAGCATTGCATAGCATAGCATAACTTAGCATACCTGCAGGTACGTACGTATATACATACATATGCATGCATACATACATACATGCGTACATGACAATCGTACGTAAGCACATGAATGCACCCAAGCACACATCCACACATGCATGCATGTCACATGTGTTCGCAGTACCTTCACGTACTTGCGTCTGGATTCTGCAGCTGTTCACAAGAGCACATAGACGCAGGTACGCAGATTTCGATACACAAGAAACTACACCGATATCATGTTTATGGCTTAATTATGCGTAAACAGCGAGTCTGTGTCTATGTGCAGATATTTGCACATGCGGAAAAACGGCTATACTCTTTACCCATGTCGACTTCCCCCTAGTCTCACACCATGATCCGCGGGTAGGGACATTGTTTCGCACCGCAGACACAACTTCCTTCGTTCTCAAGGGCCTCAAAGATGACCGTGGTCAACACATCAGACTACCCGACCTCTGCCATAAGAAAAGCCCTTGACAGGGTTTACACTCTCACAACTCGGACAACTGTCAAGGGTTTAGGGTTTAGAGACATGGTCTTTCCGTCCAGTAAACCCTCAAGTTCGATGAGCCTGCGTGACCAAACTCATTGAACCATCGGGCCCTTTCAGAAAGACAACGACCTGGCTCACAAAACAATTCCCAGGCCCTCTGGCACTTGCCACGTACTACCAGCACGCTGAAATCTCTCTTCGAATCTGCACTCACCCACCCAAACCCCTGAACCCTAAACCCTACTAGTTGTCCACGCATCTGTGGAGAACTGGGCAACCATGATCGCCTTCGTGTTTCCAGGGGCGACCTGATTGGGTCTCGGGGGCAGCTCATAGTGTTCAGTATATGCGATAACATACTATACACCGCAACATATTATAGTATATTGTAGCACATTCTATTATACTACAGTATATGATTTAGTGTATTACAGTACAGTGTGGTACACGATAATGTATCACTCTATATATATATATA